GCCGTCATCCGCTGTGTCCTCGTAGGCCCTGCGCAGGGGAGTGGGCGTGAAGGTCCGCACAGCGGCCACCCGCCCTGCCCTCCCACACACCTCCTCCAGGGACCTGCCGGGCTCTCAGCCCCCAAGCATGGAGTGTGCACCCAGCGTCACACCTCAGCCCAGCAAGAACGGACTTGGAGCCACGATGGAGCCGAACCCAGCCGCTGGCCACAGGGGCTTGCATCCCTCCCAGGACAGGGGGCTCACTCACTCCCACCACAAGCAGTACGTGTCCATCCTGAGCTAATGTGTCTTCATACGGTGTCTGCGCACAGCTGGGGGGGGTCCCACCTCCATAAACCCACTCCGCCTTCCATGAGATGAAACCCTTTCTACATGTGGCCACTCCAGGAGGATCACCTGCGGGACGCTCAGGCCACCAGCTCAAGGGCAAGGCCTTGGCTCTCCGCGGCCCCTGTGAGTTGTCACAAAGAAACCCACTTCCCAGGGGAAGAGCTGGGGCTCAGAGGGGTTGGACCCACGCAGGCTGTAGGGACAGAGTAAAGGCTGTGACAGGGAGGCTTGAACCCCAAGTTCTTTTATTTTTTTGGAGAGGTTTTTGCTGTAAGGCGCGTGCGCTCACCAGACAGAGAGAGACAGAGATAGAAAGTGAGAAATCACCCCCCAGGGGGGATGGTCACGCCGCAATCCCTTCTCCATTCTCCTCTCGGGATCTTGGGCACGCACGCACATGTGCCCGGCATGAGTCTTAAGCCACTGGGTCCGGGACGCGAACCGTGGTCGACTACATGGGAGTCCAGTGACATAGCCATTACGCTAACTGCTGGTCCCGACCTGGGCTCTAGTGACTACTGACCGTGAGGGAAATGGAGGCCCAGGGAGAGGCTAGGGCCTGAAGCTCAGAGTGACATTGTGGCATTGGTGCTGTCACCACTTCTCCTGTGCCCTAGGCCTGGGGAGGGGACCAGCCTCACTTCTACCGCCCCAGAGCCTATACTTGCTGCCGTCCCTGAGCGAAGCCAAGGCTGATGCAAACCAAACGGTACATGTCTAATTCACCCTTGTACTTCGACTACCTGTGGGGTACTCTATGGCTGGGGAGTGGAAGGTGGGCTCCCTGGAGGAGGCAGCTGCAGGACATAAGGCGCTCACCTGGCACGGAGGCCCCGCCCACACTCGGGCCTCCTCCGTGTGGCCGTGCCATAGTCGGGCTCCAGCTCAGGGCCACCCTCGTCATCGGCGGCCAGGCT